GAAATGCAAGTTTCAGTATCAGAAATATTAAAATCTCACAGGTTAAATTGCCAAGTAATATAATCAGTTTTCAAGGATTTTAAAGAATCATCTTTGTACTACTTCGGAATACGAAACAGATTATTCAGATGCTGTGATTTGTATCATGAACCTATCTTGCTTAGTTTTTTTTTTAATTTTATATAATTCTGATATATGTAATTATATATTTATAAAGTTCACAAAGAGTTACATAATAACAGTTCTTATACACAATTAAAAGAGTTACTTTTACTATCTACATAATTATCCCATAATTACTTGGAAAAGCTATTTAACGTCCTTCTCCATTTCGGAAATGTTTCACTTTGGTGTTTAAATGCATAATATTATCTTAACAAATCAATTGTCTGACTCATTAACCACTGAGCATATTCATTAACCTAATTATGGCAAAAGCCACTTGCAAGCCCACAAGATGCGTATATATAGATATGGTATATACAATATACTATATGTACATATAAGCTTGTGTATTGTATATTAATACACTTGACGCCCAGTGCAACAGTTTCAAGACGTGGTGCCAATGCCCAAAAGCGCACGGGAGTTAACTTAGCGAGCTTTAATTATATATTAGCCAATTGGCCTGTTCAACTTAAACACTTTGACATGCAAATGCTAAACACAAACACGCACATACATATGCGCTACTAAAATACAATACACTCAGCGAAAAAAAAGAGCTATTACTTAAATCGAAATTCCTTAAGCTGAGCAGGAAAATCTTTATTTAAGAACTTTTGTCAAGACCCAAAATAACTAAACACAAGAATTAAGAAAAGTACTTAATCGATTGAATGTTGTCATTGAGAACGTCTTCTGCTTCTTTTAAGTCAACTAATTTTTTGTATAAGTATTATTTTCTTATTTCAAGCTGTTTTAAAATTTGTTGTATTAGTTCAGCAATGAAATTATTTGTAATAAGTTCTTAAGTCTCTTTTTCTGATTTCGTTAAATTTGGATATGAAAAAATTATTTTCTACTTAATTTGAGAATGTGCAAACTCGGCACAGTTCATTTTCAAACATTCTTAAATTAAGTATAATATATTTTATTCTGAGATTGTGTGCCCGTCAATTTTGAATTTAGACATGATTTTTCTGCAAGTGTATTTGGTCATCAATGAGGATTGCTATTTGAAACTTGAAAATGCGTTGTGCGCGTCAATTTGGCTGGCAAGCTGTAGACGTCGTCTGAAGGCCTCGTCATGCACACATCATTGTCCTTGCGGTCCTTGTTGTTGTCCTGTCGCCTTTTGCCTTTCGCCTTTTCGGCTGGCACGTGTTGAATGCTGTGCGAGCCGATGCTGACAAACATCATGATGATAGCCATTATAACTAATAATAATCAGCAAAGCCTCGACTCTGGCCACAAATGCTAAACAATGGCGCGTGGTCCTCTGGCTCATTTCGGGCCTTAAATTGCTGCTGACAGGCGATGGCGTTGGCGTTGGGTGACGAGCAGGCAATTTGCAGCCAGAGCTGTTGACATATTGAACTGCAAAGATGAGAATCATGTTACCCGAAACCCCCCTCCAGCTCCTCAGACCCACCACCGGTTAAAGTTATCGCTTTACTTCAACCCCCACTCGACGATTTTGGTTTTCTTTTTTTTTTTTTTTTTGACATTTTTGATTGCGCTGACCCCCAACCACTTCCCTTCTAATTTAAGTTGCTGTAGCTAGCCAACCCCTGCACTCTTCACACTACGCTTTCAAATCCATACCTCCGCAGCAATTTTGGTCAAGTTGGCGTGACGAAGAAAAAACCATAGAAGCGAAGAAGCAGAAAAACGCTGTAGACAATCATCAAATAACTGACAGTCCAATCGACGCTTGAAAGCGTTTCCCGTTCTCAGTTTCGAGTTGAATTGCGTTAGGTTTGGTTTTTCCTTTTTTTTCCTTTTTTTCTGGCATGGGTGGTTCAAGCGTTTGGGAAATTTTAGAAATTGGAGTGAAAAAGTTTGCGCTGCGGTCTCCAAGAGACAGCTATTTAGCCGAATGAAATGCAATAAACCAACGCCGGATTCAAAGAGTGCAAGGTTGGAGAGCTCCCAGGGAATGCCAAGGATATCTTTAACCAAAAATGATAATCGAAGAATTAAAAAATTTAAATAATAATATATTGAGAGCATACAGGGAATACCAAAGATATCTTTAACCAAAACTAATAGTCTTAAAATAAAAAAATTAAAAAAAAAGTATACGGCAAATTAACATAGAGGAAAAGATTGGTTGCGTTAAGCCAAAGTAAGGAGAGTTAAGGATTGTGGAAGACCATTCTACAACATTTGTAAGAATTTTCCAATTTTGTTTTAAAGTTCTATTTAATACTAGTTTTGATATCAACAAACATTCAGTTATTAAATTTTAAAGTTATTTAAAAATCAAAATTTGTTCATTCCGAAATTGTGTTCCACTCAGATAAATTGTGACTAAGTAAGGTGAATTTAAAATTTAGTAGTAGTATTTCGCAGAGACTGGGGAATTTAACGTGTCAAAGTTTTGAGCATTTTGACCATTAATACTTTTTTATACATAAACCTTGTATATAAAAAATTTTACTTGGAATACTCTTAATTTGGTATACAAATTCTATTTCGAAATATTTTAGAAATAATTTGGGAAAAATGAGAGTGGCCGATAAAGGTATTCCACCTGAAGATAGCTTTTTTTTGTTGACAAACTTATGGCATGGTGGCATCTATTTTAATTATCACAGCGACTTCACAACCTAATCATACCCTACAAACGCGAGCATTGCGGTGCATAAATCGTAATGATAAAGACAATAAACTGAACGCAAATCAACAGAAAAGAAGACGGAGACGCCGTCACGTTTGGGCTGCAAACAGCCACCCCAGACAGCTGCCCAACCCAAGCCTAAGGAGCAACAATGATGACACACAAGCCTCAGCCCCTTGTCCACTATTGTCGAAGAAAAACAAAAATCTGTCGAGTTTTATGATCAGCGACGGGCGACGGACGACGGATGACGAATGACGGACGACGACGACGACGACGCACTCTAAAGACAAACCTCAGAAAAAAGTTGAAACAGCGACGGGACTGCAAAGTTGAACTTGGGGTGTGTTGGTGGTGTGGGCACACGCTCAATAAACACGCACCGTCGGGCGACCACCCGCAAACTCCACCCTCTGTGGCTAAACAATTTCTTTTGCTAAAGGTAGCCGTAGCCCCAACGCTCTTGACCCTTTTTGCACTCACACCAACAACGCGCGGGCACACAAAAATATAAAAATACAAAGAGACTGAAGCGGCCCGTCGCCTTTTTTTCTCTCTCTTTTATTCCTTTCAAAAACTTTACGCTGCCCAACGCACACACCCTCCTCTCAACCCCTAACACAGCGCAGCGCACACGGCAGACAAGCGACAACAACGTTGTCCACTTTCGCACCAACCTCTACTCCCCGCACCCGCACCCTCAGCCACCATTCCCCCACTCCTGCACCCGTTCACCCACGCTCTCAGCACACGCACAGAGCGAGAATCACCACCGCCCCCTCCCTAACCCATGTAGACCCTGCCAACGGTAGAACAGCAACAACGTTGCCGGCTCGTCGTATATTTTTCTCATTTATTTTTCAAGCTCCCAACTCCGGTCTGCCAACTTCACCAAGCCCACCCCACAAATGCCCCTCGACGAACCCAACCCAAAATGCCGCAAAGCATGCTTTATTTTTTGTGCGTTTTTCATATCCGAAACGCCGACGACCACCGCACCCCTGCCACTTTCACACACACCGCCAAACCGCGCCGTCCGTTAACCAAACGACGAACCGACCGATCCCAACCGGCCTTTTTTTCGCCATGCCGGCGAAAGACAAAAGCAACAACAACAACTCACACTCACACTCACACTCTCACTCACACCGCAGCGCTCACAATCCTACCCACACCAACAAAGCCCACTCTCACACTCTGTTGCGGCTCTTATTCTCTCTGTCTCTCTCTCTTCATCTCTCGTTGTTGTTGTTCTTGTTGCTGATGCATTTTTGTTGGCGACGCGCAAAAAAAGCAACAAAAATAATTGCCATGCCCCCCCACCCTGCAACCCAAAAAAAAAAATTTCAAAACACCATGCCCAAACCCACTCAGCGGCAACACCTCACACCCCGAACTCGCTGGCCGACTGCCACCCAAACCATTCACAAAACTCGGCACTCAGCTGTTTGTCAACTCATCTGCCGTCGCCATCCGCTGTTACTCCAACCCTCTCCCAGCCCACACTCTTCGCTGTGCCCGTCGCGTTGGTTCGTTGACGCCGCAGTTGCCGTTATCGGCGTTTCTCTGTTTTTGTACTCATATCCCTCGACTCGACCATGCAGAGTCCTCGCCCATTGCCCGTTGCCCGTTCGAACACATTGTGTTGCACACTTTTTGGCATTTGCCTTCCACACGCACGTTCCGCGTTCTCCATGTGCTTTTTGGCGGCGTCCCACATTCAGTTCGCCTTGTTCAGGCGCATGTTCCACGCTCTCTCTTTCTCTCTCGCTCTCTCTCTTTTTCATTCTGCTCTCACTGGCACACACGCTCTCTGTCTCTCATGCTGCCGCTGTCGGCGTCACAGGCGCTAGCGCTAGAAAACGCATTTGTCTGTCTCTGTTTTGGTCAGTCAGCAGTTGGCTTTCGTCGTGTTTGGTTCGCCTCTGGTGGAGCGCTCTAAACCTTGAGAACAAATCTCACACAAATCTCAAAAACAACCGTTAGCGTTTAGTGTGCCAAAAAGCGTTCGCTTGTTGCATTCGCCGCGAACCAAAAAAAAAAAAAAACAAATAAATAGAAAAGGAAAAAGAAATTTTTGGGTTACTTTTTAATATTGAAACAATTTAAAAGTGTTGTTAAAAGAAAGAAAAAAAAGAAAACAAAGCGAGAGGAAATTCGCGCCAAAAAATAGTTTTTGGATATTATTATTACTCACTTTTCCAAACGAAAAAAAATCTGCAACAGTGTAAAGTGTTTAGTGCTAAAGATCATAACAAAAGTTGCCAGCTGCATAGCAACTTTGATATCATCGAGTTTTGGCAACGTTTGCGTCAATTCGATACTTTGGTTTTTGGTCAATTTCATTACACTCAGCAGGCAATCAAAAAATTTGCCAAAATTCCGAAAAATCCGAGAAAAACACCAAAAACATCGACACGTACCGCATCGGCAACCGGTGGCGGTGGCGGAGGTGCTGGCGGAGGTGCCACCACCAGCACAAAAATGGCATCTAAAAGAAAAGCATCGGTGTTGCTGCACAAGGTGAGTTCAATTCGCAACGCATCCCAAGATGGTGACGTCACAACAGATTGTGGCAATATCCTTCAGAATAACAATTCGTGGAAGCAATTTCCCAACTTTTATATCTCACAAGTAGCAAATTATCTAGCGCAGCAATTCCAGCTAACTTCTTATGTTGGATTATCCAAGAATTAATTTAAAAAATCATTAATGGAATTTGTTGCTCCTAACAACAATAACACGCGATAGTTGAGCTGTCCACTTCTTGGTACTATTTTTGTAGCTTAGAAAAACCATAATCTCTGCTGAGTTGATAATAATTGGTCTAAAAATCAATTTGTTTTGCACGCAGCCATTAAGACAATTTAAGCGCAACAAATGTGCTCTTGAACTTCGAAATGGACAGCAACATGTTCTTCTACTAAGTTAAGCATTGGAATTAACAAAATTCTGACACACTTAATTTATTCAAATGCAAGTATTTTATGATCATTTAATTATTACTCTTGATATCCTTATCATTTGTCTTATTATTATTGTGTTATAATGTGACCTCTTAGTTTTAATTAGCTATTGTGACCTTCAATTGAGACTGCACCCACACACAGAGACACCTGCGTCGGATTCACAATCCCCTTAGCCCACCTGCCACTGGCTTCCATAGAGCCCTCTATCTACTGAGCACTCTTGATTCCAAAATAGAACGCACTTTGTATGTGAAAACTTTTGTATCTTCCCACAATTGAAATTAATTAGTCTACACTCTCGCTTCAATTCCGGGAAATATTATGTGCTCTTGTTATTACAAAGGCCAAAGACCCACTAGAAAAATCTTCGCTTCTCAAGTAACTCAACTAACTCGTTTTATCACGCTCCAGCTCCTGTACCCACAGCCAAAATTTCTCACCTATGTAATATCTGTATTATTGCTTCTTAAGCTACAGCTTCCACGACCTCCCGCAGCGGCGCTGTCTCCATTCATTTAGACGCATATGAAATCAATTTACCCACCTTACTCACACATTCGCTATTTTTATTCTATTTTTTTTTTTGTTGCCTACCTTTGAGCAGCAGCCGCAAAGCAAATACCAGCCCAGGCAAAAAATTAAATCGACAAAAAATCGTAGACAGTTGCAGAAATATTACTAATACGCCGCGTAGGCAGCAGCAGCAGCCGCAGCCGCCGCATAAGAAAACCTGCTCATAATGCCGATTTGGATGAAATGGCGCCTAGACAGGGGGGCACACTCTAATGATATACGACAGCGCGCTAGCTGGATATGTGTGTGTGAGTGTGGGAGTGTGTATGCATGCGTAGGTGTGAGTGTGTATATTGAGTATATAGAAGCGCGAAATGAGTTGACGGGTGTGAGTGTGTTCCAGTTGATGGTGTCTGCAGCCCAAAATGAAACGCAACACACACTCACATTCCTAACACACAACCCCCACACACACCCACCCGCACCCACACGCACCCACCCCACACTGACTTTCGTGCCACGCTTCCAAAGGGCGCACATTTTGCCCTGCACGGTAATTCATCAAATGACGAAGACGCAGGCAAAGACGAAGGCGCTGGCAACGCCAAATGCCCGACGGGTTGGCCAGGCGGAGGAGACGGGGAACTTTGTTGGTGGCCCAGGGGGTGATGGGGCTGCGGTAGCTTGGGCGCCAGCGTTGCCGCCACAAAAGAAGTAAAGCTTCTTGAGCCAAATGCCGCTGTTCCCGCCCCAAAATCCCGCAACCGATACACACCCACAAAGTCCAAAGACTGTCCAGCGCTCAGCCAAGTTTCTATGGGGCTGCTTATGCGCTAACTTAGCTAGGGTATATCCACTATTTCGAGGCGTTTGTTTAACAACAACAGACTTAAGTGATATGTAAGAAAGGTTTTTGAAATCTTAAGCAGAATTAGAAATCGGGGAAATCAAATATTCATTTATATTTCAAAAACTATTTCATGTTGTAAATTTTATTTTCACATTAAAGCTTATGAAATATTTATAAAAGATTCAAGGAATATCTCTGAATATTGATTCCTGATTCCATTTATTATCATATATATGAAAGTAAAGGAAACGGGGAGGACAAAATCTGACGAACGTTGTGAGATAAAAGATATTGGTAGTTTTTTTAAATTGTTTTTTACAATGGATTGTTCAATTTGAGTTCTCTAAAGAATCTGGAAATGGGGAATGAAACATTATATACACTTGGTTAGCTGGCATAGTCAATATGAAATCTAAAATGAAATAAAAACTCTAGAACAAGGTTTAAATATGCATTTATTTGAATAGTTTCTATTTATGGATATAGAGTGAGCTTATATGCTAGCTTAAATTATATAAAAATCAGGAAATCAGGAAGCAAAGAATGACCCTCTTTTTACAATTCTAAGCTATATATTGTAGTTAGGGTATTTGGGGTGCATAACACGTATGAAAAGTCTGCTGCTTGTTTGTTTATTGCAAATATGGGTGGGTCAGCCTAAGAGAAGGGGCTGCCAAGACGAGCCCCCAAACCCGGTAAGGAACAAAAGCATTGACTTTTGTATATAGTCAGCGGCATTTGTATATAAATAGTGGTGTGTGTGTGTGTGTGGTGGGGGGTGTGTGTGGGGGGTGTAGGGTTTGTGTCAAAGGCAACTTCAAGCCAAACGAGGGCAGGGAATGTGACGCTACATATGTGAAGGGATCTGTGTGTGTGTGTGTGTGTGAGATTGAGTGTGAGTTTCTGTGTGTATGGATGGTCAAGCTTTGTGCTTAAGCGCACATAAGCCGCCGCAGGACATCGTGTCGAAAGCGTCTTTCGATTTAATTTGTACCTTTGCAAAATCTACACAAAACTTAAAGACTGAATAGTTACCCCCAAAAATCTCTCTAGCTCTCCAGCCCGGTCAGGAGAATGCACTGAAAGAAAAAGTTACGAACGTTTTCAAATATTCTTGAATTAAATATGTATTATTGTTGATCGTTTGCGAACTTTTTAATTTCAATATGTATATATAATATAAAAAATAAGAGCACAACATTTCTTAGTACTGCATTTGAGGCTTGAATTTAAAAATTTTGGGATTTCAAAAAGTTCTTCTTTCTATGAGTGTATCTTGTTATGCTGCTCAGCTGTAATCAAACATGATTTTGGTGACGCTGACGGTGACGTTGCCAGGTTGTTAGGGTTTGGGGTAGTCAGCACCCTTCCTCATCAATTTCGGGGGGATGGCGGATGGAGGCAGAAACTTAAGATGCGAGCTGCAGCTTGACGGTTACACAACTCAGCATTAGTGTCGCAGGCAGGCAGGCAGGCAACAAGAGCAACGTGCGAGGCGAATCGAAGCAGACAGAGAACTAGTCAATGTCGTCAACAGGACCCAAGCTAGGACCAATACCCCAATACCCGGACCAGGACACTGGCACCGTATGCACAGGAAGCGAGTGTGTGTATTGAAAGTAGAAGGAGTTGCAGCTTTTACGACAACGTCGAAGGCGAAGGCGTCTTTCGCCCTGGCTGTCTTGGGTTGACACCCTCTCCCTCTCCCACACTTCCCATCCAGTTTGGTTAGATGTTACGGAAAATTGCTTACGGTTTTTTGCACACACCAACACACACACACACACACACTCACATACACACACGGCTTCCACACATGAATAGATCAGGAGGGAGGGGAGGGATTGGTAGCTGGGGCTGGTGTAGCTGCTAGCATCACATCATACAAACAGACAAGTTAGACAGCCCAAGACCCTCATCTGCACAACCATAGCTCGAAAATAGAAATAGATGACAAGAAAACCGACGAAGACATTGCTGAGTTTAACTCCCTGGTAATCGAAAGAAGGACGAGGTGTGGACGACTACGACGCTAAGGACGACTTTGGCTAAGGGCAAGCGACAAGCTCGACGGGTTACATTTTGGTTGATACCACAGACACTGAGAGAATGAGTTGATACAGTTGATGAGGCGGGGGCCTTGCCAGAACTTCTGGCTTGTGGGCGCACAAGAAGCAGCGATTTGACATGATAGCCCTCTAATTATGGCATCGATTCAAAGGCGGTGATTAGCTTTTCAACTTTCGAATCCCAAAGTTCCCTTAAAAAATACAAAACTTCGATAGCTTTTAATTAAACTTTGACATTTGACTTTTATGAGAATAGTATTGTGATATCGTAATTGCCTTAAAGGTCATATACTATATATATAAATAGCTGTCGATTTGCAGTTAGCTGCTTGATATAGCTCAATAAAAACTATAAAATATGAATGTATCGATAACTCGATATGGTCCGATAACATTTTGTAAGCGTGCACTTATCGATAGTTTTTAAATTCGCTACTTGTAATTTGTGGATCTTATTTCGAACTTAACAAACACATGCTAAGTACGGGCAACCCATTCTCAACCTAAGTCTGGCCATTTTTTTTAGTGTAGCTCATCACTAGCTGCTGGGCTTGCCATCCGAGCACCCGCATCCCGCCCACAGCACAGCCATACACATCCATATAAATAAGAGCCATCAGCTCAAAGTCCCGCCACTCTCTAGCTCTCCTCCTACCCAGAAGGCAGCATCACACTCGTGTTCACGAAAAACCTGCCAAGGAACGTCTTTACGTACTGTCAAGCGCAAAACAGACAAACCTAGGTGGCTAGGTCACCACCCACACCGCAACGCACCGCACCGCACACACACACACACACACACATATACACATTGGCAGCTGAACTGAACTCCATCTTGGCCAAAATGAAGGCGCTGCAACAGCAGCTGTGGCAGGCAGCAATGTATTTCAGCTACAGCCACAATCAAAGTTGCTGCGAAAACTGAGTTAGAGGCGGGCACAGAGTTAGCTCAGTCTTAATACACACACACACACACATACTCACAGAGGCACACACATACACACTGAAATCCCACATCAGAAAAAGCACGCCCAACAAGCGACGCCGCCTCCAATCCACACACACACACACACACACACTGGGAGTACACACAAAAACAATGCCAAAAGTTTCTACACACAC